GACGGAGCAGGGCGTGACAGAACCCCCCCCCAAAGGCGCGCACTCCCGGCGCGCCATAGAGGAGGCGACGGACGAGACGAGACCGGGGGACAGGACCTGAAAGACAAAACCAAAAACCATTAACGAAGAACAGGGAACAAGACCGAAACACAGAACAAGAACAAGGACGAAACGAAAGACAGGACCCGACAAAGAACAGGAAACGCGGACAGGCAGACAGAGAAAGGAGACACAGAGGGAACAGAAAACGGAGGAACAACAGGGCGAGGAGTGAACACAGGAGACACCGAGGGACGAGGAGCAAAGACAGGAGGGACAAAGGGACCAGAAGGGAACGGCGGAGACACAGAGGGACGAGGAGCAGAAACAGGCGGGACGGAGGGAAAGGGAGGAGGAACCAGGGGCCAAGGGAACGGGACGAGGGAGTGATGGAGGGGACACGGAGGGAGCAGGAGGGAACACCGGTGCAAGCAGGTAGGAGGGGGAAGCCGCGGCAGGCGGAGGTGCAGCCGGAGCCGGGGAAGGCGCCGTCCGACGCCAGGCCGGAGCAGGGGGGCCCGGAGGCGGCCGACACGGAGGCGGGACCGAGGACCGGCACCGAGGAACCAGGGGGGGACCCGGAGGGGACCGCCGACCCCGAGTCGGAGAACCCGCAGGCAGCCACCGAGCCACAGCCAGGGGCCGAACAGGCGAGCCAGGGGGCAGGGCGGGCGGGACCCGGGCCCGACGCCTATGTCCCCGTCCCTTACGGGACACTGAAAGGCGGGGTCCTGGGGGGCGTCGGCCTTGCCGGGGTAAGGGCGGACAAACAGTCAGGGCCTCTAAGGAGGCAACAAGCGAGGCAGCCGGAGCCTCGGGCGTGGCCGCAGGCGGGGCAGCCAGAGCCGCGGGCAGGACGGGAGAGGCGGCCTCAGGCAGGGCCGCGGACAGGACGAGAGAGGTGGCCTCAGGCAGGGCCGCGGGCAGGACGGGAGAGGCGGCCTCAGACCGGGCCACGGGCAAGACTGGAGAGGCGGCCCTAGGCAGGGTCGCGGTCACTTGGCCAGCAGGGGGCGCCTCGGAGGGCGCTTTGGGCGTGCAGTCAGCAAGGGGCACCACGGGCAGTGCGGCCTCCTCTGCTGCTGGCGGAGGCGAAGTCAGGCCCTCGAGCGATGCTGCAGCGGGCACCCTCAGTTCCTGGCCAGCAGGGGGTGCCCGGCGGGCACCGCCATCACTTGGCCAGCAGGGGGCGCCTCGGGGGGCGCCTCGCAACGAGCGGCGGCAGCTGCAGCAGGCGGTGCAGCTGGAGCTGCGGGCAGGTCGGGAACAGGCAGGTCAGGAACAGGCGGGTCCGGAGCAGGCTGGACCGATGAGCAGGGCTGGATGGGCAGAGCGGCGGCCCCAAACAGGGCCGCGGGCAGGACAGGAACGGCGGCCTCAGGCAGGGCCGCGGGCAGGACAGGAATGGCGGCCTCAGGCAGGCCCGCGGGCAAGACAGAAACGGCGGCCTCAGGCAGGGCCGCGGGCATGCGGCCAACAGGGGGCGCCTCCGCAGGCACCTCAGGCGTGCGGCCAGCAGGGGGCACCTCGGCGGGCGCCGCCGTCACGTGGCCAGTAGGGGGCGCCTCGGGCGTGCGGCCAGCAGGGGGCGCCTCCGCAAGCACCTCAGGCGTGCGGCCAGCAGGGGGCGCCGCCGTCACGTGGCCAGCAGGGTGCGCCTTAGCAGGTACCTCAGGTAGAGCGGCGACAGCAGCTGCAGCAACCGCAGGCGGGACGAGCAGATCAGGCAGGACAGGCGGGTCAGGCTGGACAGACGGTGCCGCGGGCAGAGCGGCGGCAGCAGCAGCAGGCGGTGCCGCGG